ATCTATAGCTGGTATCGTGTATTTGACAATTAGGTAACTATTCATTTAAATCACATTTTTTTGTATTGATAAAATTTTGAAAGTATTCCGCTGATTCCTAATTCAGTCTCAAGCTTAACTCGTAGTATTGTTTATGTGGTAAAATGTAGGAATGTATATAAAAATAACTATTGATTTCTTAAAAAACAATTTCATATAACTACTTGCTTCAGATTTATTGAGTTTGTATTATGTAAAAAATAAAAATTATAACTATTAAAGGCTTGTCGGTGTACATCCATTTTAGTTACATTAGTTAAAGGTAAATTATTGTAAGTTATGAACAAAATATGTAATCAATATACATCTGTATATTTTGTTTATTTTTAATAAACATTGATATTTTTAAAATACAGCAGCTTTTAGCCGACGATCACTTCAAAAAACCGGACAAATCTTTGGGTAGAAATTCTGGTGTGAAATCAGGGAATGTCCATTTCCACCTTTCAGACATACCGCACGACAACAAGAGGATTTTCGGACCATGACTGTAGGGCCAGAACGCCGGGCCTGCAGGGGGGTTATCGTTGGGCTGCGATGACGGCGCAGTGCACTACGATGTACGACCACCTGCGGTACAGCCGGCAGTGCCCTCTCGACAGAGCAAGAGGATGTGTGGTGCTCGACGGCGACGACTATGGCATGCGGCAGCAGCAGCAGCAGCCACTGCAGGAGCAGGATCAGCTATAGAGGACGAGTCTTAGAAATCAGACTTTGCTGAAGGACCACAACCGCAGGAAATGCTGCTCGAGTTCACGAGTTCGTTCTGAGAGTATAGGCAATCCGCGGCCGGGCGGTTTGGGCTAGAAAGCTTGGGTGCAGACCGGGGTGTACCCCGTACGTCGGACACGGAGATGGTGACTGCAAGAGGAACTTTGGACTTAACGATGAGACTGGTGGAAAGGTTATAAGCTTGTTGGTGACTGTTCTAAGAAGATTGACATGGATTCAAGCCATCTGGTGAGCTGCATATTATTAGGTAGTGGAGACTTCCGGTTATAATCCTATGCAGAAATTATGAAACAAAATTAACAATTTTGATTTTTTCACAATTCTTGGACATTGTTATATAATATTATGGTCTATAATAAGTTCTAATACTCTTAGATCATAATAATGAATATACTTATAAATTTGTAACTTACTTATTTTGGTATTCAATATTGGTATATACTATTTAAATTTGACAACATTGTTTGTAGCGCTTCTTAGTGAACTGCCCCGTTCCTTGCTTTTTACCCCCTTCAGTTTCACCGTCACTTCCGTCAATTCCTTCATGATCAGGTCACCATTTCCGGTTCCGACATACACTCGGGCACATACACCTCGACCTGTAGTTTGGATTTCTCGTCCGTTTTGTCCGGCCGCTTACCCAACCACAGAACGAACACTGGTGGGTAGCATTTCCATTACATAATAATATTATGCTCTCATTGGTCCTTCGGCTGTGGCTTATCTTCAAACTCGTCCTGCTCATCCTGATCCTTTTCCTGGGTTTTTGGTGGCTGCAAGTGCTGCTGCATGCCATATTTTATATTCATCGCCGTCGAAATTATCCTGCAGTTCATTCTCCTGCTCATCCTCCATTCTTCCAGCTCCACCGGCCGATCCTCTTTCGGTCGCACTACTGCAATACACCACGCCAAACCGCCGTCGCAAAGGCCCAACGAGAACGTGGCCCGGTCACCGCAAATGTCCAAGTCCCCCCCAGAAATCGACCAAATGGCACCCCGGTCCGACAGTCGGCCGCTAGTCCTCTCGTTGTCCTTCTTGCAATATGTCTCTTATTTAAGTGCCACTCCAGTTCTACGGAATGGACTTTCTCTGGTATCTACAACACGCCCAGCGTTTTTCCTTCAATTTGACAGATTTTTATTTGATCGTAGTTACTAGTTGGTGTAAATAATTAGTTTTAAAAACTTAAATGAGAATAAACAAATCTCGGTACTATGGTCCTACTGGTCCTAGATATTATATTTATATTATTATTTATTTCGTCTTTAGCGTTCAAACAGAAATGTTATTAATTCATCTATAGTCAGATGCATAAATTACTGCATTGTGTTTATAGTGTTTATACCATTTTAATGTTATACCTATAACCCACCGACCACCCTATAAGTTAAACGTTTTAACTGAAATCTGAAAATAATTAATTATGTAAAAATTTTCGTCCAGCAGAATACACTACACCTGCAGCTATTAATAGATTTTTTTTGTACATGATGCAAACAACATTTCGTGATGAAAAGAGCTTCGGGTTTTTTATTTCTACGAAATGACGAGGGTGAAAATTGGCCGATGATATTTCCCGGAAGGTCGGCACTCGGCACTGATACCACGATGTCCATCGATGGCACGTGAAATATGACTTCTGGAAAATACCACGGCGATGGCAGTAATTATTACTCGTATAATATTATAATATTATAACACCTGTTCCGGCATTATAATATGGGTACAATAATAATATTTTATCAATTCGCGGATATTTCTCTTTGAAATAAACCGTGTTTTCCGATTCACGAGCTAATATTATACCCTCACTCGACTCTGCACAATAGGGCGTATGATATCATTTATGTGTATGTATATTGCGTATTCTGTATATTGAAGTATGTTATGTATAAAAGTAATACCTATGGATTGTCATGTATGTATTATTTTAAGGTCGCGCCATGAAAGTACAATGTTTTTATGGGAACACGCTTGCCGCCCCTCTTTTGCCCAAAACATATTCACTCCCCCCCCCCCAAATCAAGTTCACTGCCCACCTGCAGGAGCCGTTATCGTCCCCGTTGAGAACCACTGGTATAGACGTATAGTATGTTATTTTATATTCAATTGTATAATATTTTATTTTATAATAATATAATTTATTATGTTATCCAATGTATTGTTATGTGCACATTACCACTGCGATGCGTAACTTCCTATAAGCTACTTACGTGACTACGTACATGGTACATACATAGTGTAAAAGAAATAACTGAGAAATATGAATAAAAAATACGTAATATTGTTATGTAATAACTTTTTTAGGTATATTTAGGTACGTCCTACTTATCAATTTTAGCTCATTTTTAAAAATATAATCCATAACAATCGCAATATTATTAAATAAATTTAAAAAAATGTTTTATACACTGACAAGTTTATAATAATAAAAGGTGTACTCTACTCTGATTTGCAGTTGTAGGTTACAAGTGGGTCACTGAATTCGATGGCATCAAATTATAATTCAATTATATAATATTCTACACGTAAAAAAGATTCTGACAGACTGTCAGTCAGCCAATATTATTATAATATTTTTAAAATACATCTAAAATCGTTATCCTTCTATTAAATATTAAATTTCGTCCAAATTTAAACTTACAACAGCAGGTACAAATTTCAATTCTTATTTCTTAGTAATAAGGATTAAACATTTTATACATTTTTGACTATGCAAAATAATTAAACATTTTTCGAGATTTTGACAAATTTGTAAAATTTTAAACTTTGAATGTAAATTAGAAATTAATGCCTATCGCCTATGTATCTTTAATACTTTTTAACTATTATTATAACAACTTATGAGAAATCTTGTATTCAATTTTCAACCTTTTTGATAGAACGGAAAGATTTTTATGGACGATGATTTGAATAAAAATTATAATATCTAAATAAAATAATATTTAAAATAATAATAAGTTATTATTATGGCCCAGATTTATATCCCCTAAAAACTATTCAAATAAGTCCTATAACAATTTATTTCAACCACAATAATGTCCTTAAAAAATGACCAAAAAATTGTTTTAACAATAGATACTTGAAAAAAAGATTGATGAAAATACAAAATAAAAGTTAAGTTTTCAATTATCATCAGATGTATGAAATGGATTTTGTCCATTTCCCTCAATCTTAGTCTCTGGCAGTCCCTTACACTGACTGAAAATATTAGTATTATTTGTATACATTTTTTTATTTGAGTTTTGAAGGTTTTTTCCTAGACTCTCGTATGCATGTGGACTGCTTACCTGTCTTTGATTACCTACCTATGTTGTAATACAATAATTTTATTGAGATGATTGAATCATTGTAAATTACTAAAAGGTATGATTTTTTGTTTGGCTTTTTAATAGGCAAGTGCTACATTTAATATTTAGATATTATAATTGAACAAGCCAATTAAGTCGATAAATAGCTTTCTAAAATTAAAACTTGATACCAGGAAAGTATCATTCAAATTCATACTTGTGTATGTTTATCATAATAATTATCTTTTAAAGCCCCGAAACTGTAAAATAATATTAGCTCCAAATAAGCTTTAACATTTTAAATGCAAGAATTAAAAAAAATATTTCAGTCACTCAATAGGTAATTAATTGACTAATATAATAAAGAATTTTAATTTTCAAGCATTTTAATGTACATAGTTTATGTATAGGTACTGTATTATTGATAATTCAATAATTGTTGATGTAATTAGATTGGACAAAAAGATATTTTTCATACTTGAAAGTTGAAAGTAAAACTAAAAGATAGATCAATTTGTTTAGTGACTAAAATAGTAAAATATAAGAAGCACAATTAGTACACTGATCCTAAAATACTAATTTTGTTTAAAACGCTAAAGGGTACATTACCTCTATTTTAACAGGGTGATATTTACTTTGTCTTTGGAACAAGGGATTTCCATTTTTTCATATTTAATGTGTTTTCTTAATTTTATATTTTAAAACTTGTAAAATATCCGAGCTATTGAGTATTGTGTAAGTATAAAACCGGCTTATGTATGTTTATATATTGATTTTCAGATGTTTTTGATTACATTTTTAGACAATTAGATCTAAAAGAACATTCAGAATTTATAACCTTTCAGAGAAAGAAATCAATTAAGGTTCTAAATAATTTTTATCAAAGAAGAACAAATACAATATATCACTATTTGTAAAATAGTTGGTTATTTATATTATTCAAAAACAAAACAAAATATTTACTATCTAAATTTATATTAGAGTAAACAGCATAAAATTATTAAAATATAATGTAACTTAATGACAAAAATGGGTAGTCAATAAAAATGAAAATAAATATTCAACATTAAGTATATCACAGACGACACATATAAAAAAAAATTAATGATAAGCCAACTTGTTGTCATCAAATGGGTTCCATACGGTATATAAAACTATCGGTATATAAGCATTTAGCCAATTTAATTATGAATAGTTCACCAGTTTTCATAGAACTCTGTGGTCCTTTAATCATTTTTAATGCCATGTCAATGGCTACAATTGAATCAGAAAACTGTCTATCTAGTTTTAAAGACTCTAAAATACTGATTGCTTTCAAACATTCTATAGATGTTGTAAAATCACTGCAACAAAACAAATTTAGATTAAGTTATTTTGTCTTTAAAGTTGTATAATAAATTATATCAAAGCTATTACTTGTCATTACACATGAAACCACCAGGTGCGTTGTCTTCCTGTCTTATATGTTGTTTACGACTGGATTTGTTTTCTGGTAACTGTGAGTGTATAAAAGCTACCAGAGCTCGACATATCACACGACATCTATGATTTTAAATTGTTAATAAAAATTATTTAAAATAAAAACTAATGAGCAACTTACTTTGGGGATATACTAGTCTGTTTCTGTAACCTGATAGCATCAAACAAACTCCAACTCTGTTTATGTTGAGCTAATTGTGCTGCTGAACCAGCTACTCGTAACAGATATTCAGCTGTTTGATCGTCTTCAACAGTGCTTAAGCGTAAGACTAAAGACCACAATAGTGGCAACTTGTTTTCAGTAATATTACTGCATAAAATAAAATAACATCAAATTTGATACGACATTTTTTTCTCTATATTAAGCCACTTACTTAGGTTTCACTGATTCTAGACACTGTACTAGAGTATTTAGTATGTCAGGATATGCTGATCGATTTTGGGATTCTTTTAGAGCCAGAGTGTATAACGTAAGTAAATGACTGGAGGTCATTAATACTTCACCTAATCCTTGATAGTGAAGACGCACAGGCTGAACCAGTGATAACACTTTATCCCATTTAAAATCATTTTCATTCCCTATTTTAAATAGTAAACAAATGAATATACCTTATATTTAATAGTCCTATTGTAAAATAAACTCACCAACATGTTTAAACCATGATGTCAAACAAGCTTCAAGTATATCACCTTTATGTTGCTGATCAGTAACATGAGCCCAAGTAACCATTAAAAAACCTTGTAATACTGCACAGTCAGCTTTTCTTTGACTAATCCACTCTTGAATAGTTTGTAGCATGAGGGAAGATAGTATGGAACCTGTAGGTTGATTTACTAACACCAACAACTCTAGGACCAATAGTTTAGCCTCTTCACCATGTTTAGTGACCATTTCAGTTTCATCCAGTAAACGGTGAAAAGCACATTTAAGATTCTTGTAATGACCACCCAACACTGACCTGTACCTCGAAGCAAGCGATATAAACATTCTTACCATTGCACGAATAAATATTCGTCTTTTGTACATCATGGGTTCTGCATATGGAGCATTATGATCGACATTATTATAACCAGCTGCTGTTTTCAAGAGGCTAGAAATTAAAAGTTATTATTATAATTATTAAAATCCCAGATAATACATTTAATATTATGAGGTGCATGACTTACTCAAGCACAGCAGAATCTGTGCCACACCAATCTTCATTACTTAGTTGAAGCACAATCATTGGATCATATTTTGAAACAAACCAACTCAGAATGTTTTCATATGTTTCCCCATCAATTTGGTACCAAGCAAATTTTTGTGCTTCTAATAAAAGGGGTCTAATTTTTCCACCCTACAGAAAAAATTATAAATTTACAAAAATCTATGATACAAATTATATTGTATAAGCTCAGTAGTACTTTTCTCATATTAGGTTGATTAGATAGTTTTATAAGCAGTGATAACAGTATACGAAGATCAAGATTTGGAACATGTGGCCAAGGTATTTCCAAAATTACATTTGCCAAAAAACATTGAGATTGGGGTAAAAATTGGTCCATGACCTGGAAAAAAATGTATGTAAAACTATTAATTATTTTTATTCTATGTAAACTAAACAAAAAATATCAGCACTCACCTTCATTATAAAATCTAAATCGACAGGTGTTGGTATAAATCTCTGCCAGGGTAACTTTTCAAGATTTGAGTGGATTGTCTCAAAAATGTAATCATTTGTCTGAATATGAGCAAACATTTTTATATACCACTGACAGACAAAACTTAAGACATTATCACATGCTAAAAATCAAAGAAAAATAAATGCATTTCTTTTTAAAACACTTACAATATAATAAATAATGATTAATAGTTTTTAACAGATTCTCACCTGGCATGGTGTCTAGGACAAATGTAATACATTCCACTAATGCATCAACCATTAAAGCAGATATTGAAGAATCAGTAGCCAACCAAGGTAGTTTCAATGATCTATGATCAGTGTTCCACCCCTCATACCATGGTTCCAACCATGGACCAAACATGCTTATTAATGTTGGACACAAAAACTCGCATACTAAAATAGTAAAATATATATACAATTATAGTTTTAAAAATGAAATATAAGCTATTTTTTTTTTTTGTAAACTTAAATCATTTTTTATTTAACAGCATTTAAAGTTTAAATAAATATATATTTATACATTTTAGAAAGCCTTTTTAAATATATTTAAAATATATTGCAATAAATATTTTATAGATATAGATTTGAAATTAAGTTATGCTTTTATAGTATATACAAAATATTGTAAAATAAATACTAAATAGATTAAAACACTCACATGAATGATTTTATTTTAAATTAATATGCATACTTTTATTTGCTAACATTCCACGATAAGACTGTAATGTTCCTACAACTAGTGCATGGGTAACCATAGCATACAAGCCGACCAATGGTTCAATATATACATTGTATTTTGAATACAGCTCTCCAGTAGCAGATTTCACTCTTTCATTAGCAAAATGTGTAGTCAAAAGATGTAAAGTCTCTTGAAGCTGTAGGTTAGAAAAAAAAAGGTTAAACAGAACAAATTATAATTAGTCAAAACATACTTCTTGTGAACTTAGAGATCGTTGATCAGTTGCATAACGTCTAACTACGTCTCTTAGCTGATCTGATGACATTCCTGGCAATAAAATTGTTCTCACAGAATTTGTTTGTGTTGTAGGTACAGCTTGAGCTAAAATTGTATTGAGGATATTGAACCAAACTTGACAATAAATGCGACCTTCTTTAGAATGATCTAAGAGTTTTAGTAATATTTCACCATAATGTTCAGGAAAATCATGATTCATTATTTCACATAGATGTTGACTAAAAATCTGTTGATTGCAATTTAATAAATCACCGTCCAGTTGAATAGTTAAATACCAAAAATATTCAATTTACTAACTTCATGTAAAGACCATGTGTAATCTGACCGTGTTTGTTGTTTAACTAATATTAAAGCTCCTATACAGTAATCCATTAATATTGACCTTTCTTGAAGTAAAGGCTGTTTGGTTGATAGACAAACAGATACATTGAACTATAAAACAATTAAAGGTTAATATTTAATTCCACTAAATGTTACCTTGCACTCACTTTGGAAAGTAAATTTAATGCAATAGGCTCGTATTGAGCATTGCAATGGTCAACAATATTTTTGTAAGCTTGCATAAAAGTATTTGTGGATGCACTAGATGGTGAAAATAAAGGAATCAATATATCGGCTAGTTCAGGGTAGGTAAATGCTGTGTTCTGTATACGTAAACATTCATTTTCATTATTTAGTATAAAAACCTAAAAAATATGAATTTTATAATTTAATTATATTGAATGTTAATTTATAATATTACAAACAATGATTAAAGTAATATATACGTTTCCAATAGATTGAAGCATAGTCAACATAAATTTTTCAATAGAAGGACACGTTTTTAGAATTGCATATTCAGACATGAGTGTATAGAACAACAAAACACCTGATGATTGGATATCAGTAACTAATGCAATGTCCCCTATTTTTATCAATGCATTGTATTCATTGAATATTAACCTAAAATTTCAAATAAATTTAATAATTAAGTTTTAAAAACATACTTTTATAGTAAAAATGGTTACAAAATTAAATACTTACTGAATAACTAGATCTATTGTAGTACATGCTGTTGTTAATGAACGTGGCATTGGATTTTCCAAAATATCAGTAATTAATGTGTCCAATTCTGATCTGTTATTAGAATTAATTTCTACCACGTCTGCATTCAACTTGGCTTCTCGAATCTTTAAATTACATTTTAAACTTTAAGTATGTTCTTTTTTTTTTAGAAAATTATGTTTTGTACTTGAAAAGTGATTTCAGCTGCTCCAGCACAGCAGCTACTCGTGCTGCCTTTTTTTGTCTTATAATCACAAACTGCTTGAACTCTGGTAGTAGAATCTATTTGGACATAAACCATTTTTACACCATCAATGTACCGATTGTCTAAATTTTCATGACACACTGTTTGCATTCGGTACATTCTACTGCAAAACAATATTATACAACCTTAAAAAAAAATTAAATAAACAGAAAATATGATAAACACCCACTTAATGAACTGTACAATTTGTTTAATATTTAATTGTACAATATTTAGCAAATGTTCTTTATGGTACAACATATCAGCAGATATTGCCTGGACATCTGACAGTCGTAACACAAAATCTGGACTTTTAATAGGATCATCATAAGATTTCAATCTACAAGTAAAAATTGCGAACATCAAACTTTGTCAATATTAATAAATGATCATTTTCATTTTCAACCTGTTGATAATTCTGGTAATAGGATCCTTTTCTAAAGGTAGTCTTCTATTAGACTGACTGTTGTTTAGAGTCTTTTTGCCAAATAAATCACACCAATTTTGTACACACTCAAGTTTGTTTTCTTCAATTAATTTATGATTGATTAAATCTGACAACCACTCCTATCAAACAAAAATTAAGTTAATATTTTCAAACAAAAATACTATATTAAATATAATCATTATCATAAATTTTATTTCATTACATGAGATCCATTAATAATATGTGTTAGGTCATTTGGTTCATACATTGAGTCCAATGAAGGTATGAATAAGGTAGATTCAAGAATCCGAACATCAGTTAACCATAGAGTACAAGCTTCATAAAATCTAAAATTATGAATGATATTTATATATGAGCCATTTATAAATTGTTATTAAATATTAAAAAAAAAATTGTCTGTAATCTAAACAGCATACTTACAATAATAATAATAATAATAATAATGTGCATACCTCGATAAACGCAAATCAATTTCAGAATTAGGTTCAGTTTGAAGCTTAGAGCGATGAAAATCAATGCACTCCTTAAGTTTATTACTAATTTTATTCAGATATGGTGAGTTTACAAGACCTTCAAAAAATTTGCGACCAACACAGCCTAATTGCTGAGTTCTAAGTAAAAGTGAAATATTAAAATATTAAATAATGTAACTAAAATTAAATGTTTAAAAATGTTTAAAACATTTACCCTGGAACTCGTTGTAAATACAATCTAAAAAAATTTTGCCAATATAAAGAAGTCATAGGATGACCTGGTGGCATTTCCAATCCATACTGCATCCACCGGTATAAAGCTAAATGTCCAGATGTAAAATGAGGTACTTTTAGTTCTGAACACACTCTCTAAGTACAGAAATACAATAAAATAAAAACATGATTCTAATATGTATTATGTTTTATTATTGTCAAACCTTAAGTGCGTCATCTACATTTGATTTTCCTTGTTGTGCATGTAATTTTATCAGTAAGTTTTTCCAAATATCATTTCTACCTTGGATACACCATTCTTCAGCTTCTAATGCTAACAGAGCATAATATGGACAATAATACAATACCACCGGATATTTGGGTAATAAAAGTGGCCGTTTTTCTGGACTTTGAAACATAAAATTAAGGATTGACCCAATAGCCGTAACATTTTCTTTGGAGCCACTTAATTGCTACAATATAATTACAATTAGTACTATGTTTGGATTGCTCAACAACCAACAACAACACTTACAGTTATCAAACTTATAAGCAGCTCTCGGGCCCACTGGATTGATTGGGTTCGAAAAACATTTCTGAATACAGTATCCAACACATAAACAAATAAATCTGAATCTGCTTCTTTCCATACAGCACACACCACTTTAGTCCAAAGGTCCATAACGGAATGAGGACTTATTAATCCATACCGTGCATAATTTGATATTTGGTACTGAATCATATTAGTAAATTGTAAAGTGATTTCAGACGGCCCTTGAACACTCAATAAATTCATAGCACGTTTTGTGGTACTATTCCTATTATCTGCCATAATGCCTGCTACAATTGTAATAAACCTATGAAATAATAAATTAAAATCAATATAAGATTTGAAATTTTTAAATAAAAATATCACTACTTTTTAGATTCTAGTAGACAATCTGGGTTTTCAAAAAAGAATGGAACTATCTTATTCAGACAAGCTATAGTAGCTGTATAGTGTCTGTATTGTAATAATCGATAACAATAATCTAAACCCTTGGTTAGTATAACTGGAATACAATGGCCAGCTGTGGTTACATGTATAGCAGTGTATAGAGCGATTGGGTCATCGTGACGCAAATATTTTATGTCCTAAAATTGCAAGAAATACATTATTTGGAAATTGTTTTTAAATATGTTAAGTTGTTAACTTACGTTATTATCAGTATCAATATCAATTACAGAAAGTAAATAATGACTTAAGTCTTGTAATGAGCCACGCACTATTATATCTGGTAAGTCCATTAAGTGGAGTTTTAATGTGTATAGTACTTTCCATGTCCATACTCGAAAAGCTTGTTCGTTTGACTTAATTTGTACCAACTAAAATAGTATTAGTTATCTTTTTTAACATTGAAGTTATTAATAAATTTATAAAAATTACTTGTTTTATACTGTGAACTAAATATTGAGTTGAAGTTTCATCTACAGTGATGGGAGCATGTTGTACAACAGCTTTGACAATAATGTTTGCTATACGGCAGTGCATATCTTTAGTCAACATAAAATCACTGCATTGCATTGCATTGAAAAAAATTAAATAATAAAAATAATGTTCAAAAATATTGAAATATGTTCTGTAAATTGATAAATCTAGAAGCTAAACATTTAGACAGAAAATACACACTTAATATCATTCTCATTGCATCCCGAAAATATCTTTGCAAGTATATGGCGTCTTAAGGAATTTTCTGTAGATGTAATTGGATGATTGAGTATCAAATGTTCTAAATAAGATAAGTCATCCATGGTTATATTCCAATTTGGTAATTGAAGAGTTTTAAAAAGATACAAAGAACCCTTTATATGATAAAATACATTTAATTTTATTCAGTCTGATAAATTAAGATTTTTATAAAACAATTACATTTCTAGTATACATACCGAGCCAACCTCATCAAAATTATGTTTAAGTACACTTATAATTTCAGAAATAAGAAATGGATGTTTATCAGATAAATGTGTAAGCAAAGTTCGACAAGTTTTACGACATTGTTCTTTAGTTGTTTTACTCACAAATCCAATCTATTAAAAAAAAAAAAAAACAAAAAATTAAACATAACAGCTATAAAGTAAATATAATAGTCCTTACTTTAAATAAACAAATAGTCACTGCTTTTATAAAGTCTATATCATTAATGTATCTACTTAAGGCCATATTACTAATGGCTGTTAATAAATAGTAACATTCATCATCGGAAGTATTTATAATGCATTCTGAGAGTTCTTCTAATGAACACTCATTGAAATCTATAAACAAGATAAATACTATTAAGATAAAATATACATTTAAAAATTGTTATTATAATCAACCTGATTTAATGTGTAGTACGTATTGGAAGAGATGCACTACCATTTGAGAAGATACTTGTCCAAATGGCAACATCACTAAATACTGCCAAGTAGTTCTATCAACATTACTGTACAAACAACTAACGGCACGGAACAAGAATGCATCATATTCTGTTTGTATTCTAGCAGACATAAACTTATGATTCCTAAATAAAATTACATTCTGTTAATAAATAAAATAATTTCTGATAGTATTAATGAAAGAACTTACTTATATTCTTCTAATACATCAGTAACATAGTTTACAGTATCCTGAAGTAGATGTCCAAGTCGTTTTGAAAATTGTTTATATTCGGTACTTTTAGAATTATAAGTTTCCAAACCGGATTTAAATAATTTAACCAAAACGCTGCCAACAGCAATCAGTCTTAATAAGTCGTGTTCATTCCACAAGTTTATACGTACAACATTTTCATTATCAGAAAACATAATCATCTGTTATACAAATAAATTGATTATTTGTTGGAACTTTTGATTATAATAAATAATACGTATTAAACATAACATCATTCAAATACTTTTTTAAAGAGCACTGAAAATGGCATTTGATTGAGAAAAGCAATAATATCACTCTCACGGAGTGTTTGTTGAGAACTTCCTGAACTATCTTCTTCTCCTTCGCTGTCTACTACTACCCATATAGATTCATTAGTATCTCCTTCACTTTTATAAATCTAAAAAATAAAAGAAAAATATACTGTTGGTACCATCTATACCGACATATGGGGTACAACAATATTAATTTCATGGTTTCAGAAAAATTTTGTTTACTTATAAGTATGTTTATATAATAACATATTTTTTAAGGTCTCTTGCCCGCTATAAATGATACTTATTGTATGTTCATATACAATTAACAAAACAAGTATTGTTTCTTACTTGTTCTAAAAATTTTTCTCGAGATTGGACTGGCAGTAAGATAATAGCCAATGATGTAATAATGTAATCTAAATGAAAGTTATCATCTTGATGGTTTAAATCAATCAAAGGTATTTGGATAAAAGAGTTGGCCCATTTCCCAACACCTGTTTGACATCTAGATCATAAAATAAAATAAATTATTATTTGTGATTCAGAAAAATACAATCTACTGATGAGTGAAGTGGAATACATATATTACAAATGTCGTCATAGTAAGCAATTCTATCATTTTATTATAGTGCCATTATAAATCGAATAATCCTTCAGCTGTGAAGATCTTTCTCCGATCGATCTCTATTTTACCATACTTGGAAAAAATGGTTGAATTGATTATCTTAAACTGTGTTAGATATAGATTCAATCATAAAATGATCACGGATTCTGGCAAGGTTAATATACTAACACAAGTATTACATCTTTTATCCTAAATGTTTCTGAGTATATTAAAAACAGCTTTCAAATTGACATAATTATGATCAATTTTACTGAAGACTTTGATCCCTTAAACCACAACTTCTAAAGAACTTGAGAACTTAAGAATAGGGAATTACTTCTATTTTGGCTCACTTACTATTTCACAGGCAGATCACAATTTGTTAAACTAAATAATGCAGGATACCCATTGAAATCTGGATTTTCTATAGGTACCATAAATCTAATAGTCTTTTTTTTTTATTAATTTACTCTTTCTGTCCATTAAAAAAGTTAAAAAATACTAACTGTATGCTGAAATACATTTTTTTTTACAAAATTCACTTAATTTTCAACTTGAATAAATTTAAAATAATTTCTTTCTCCAGAGTTCCAGACCTCCCATTTTTTAATTAATTTTAAACTACAACAAAAAAGTTAGAGATCTTGGGATATACAACTGTCAACTCCTCAAATCTTTCCTTTAAACATCACACAAACTTAACTGTAAATAGAATATTGAAAGTCCTAGGATTCATTAAACATAACACCAAATATTTCAAATCAGGTCATTGACTTTATACTTCATATATTTCACTTGTCAGACCTCCCCTAAAATAAGGTGTGGTGGATTGACTCTATTCCTAGCAAAAGACCAAGTCAGCATAAACATGTTCAATATAGGTTTAGCTTATGCTTCTTTCATCCTTATTACTCTAGTTAGTGGTCACCCACATCCAAACTCTATGCTCTTTTAGAATTCTGTCTAGTTATACTCGCAACCAGATTCCTTTGTAAATCCCTAGTCATACCACATTGTAAACCATAACCTCCCCCTTCACCGCATACTCAAGACATATATTCCCAGATATCTGTATTTTTAAATTTGCATTATATTCATAGCATATTGATAGGTTTAGATTTAAATTGTATTTGTACCTCTTTGTAACTATTATTTGAAATTTATATTGTGATAAAAATAAAAATTTTACACATACAATAGAAACCATTTATAATGACATCCAAGGGTCTAATCAAAATCAACCATAATAACTAAAATTATAAAATAAAATTTCAAAACATAGTTGTATATTTATATGAACATTATACTGTATTACAATCAATGGTTCATATTTTTAACACTAAATCATGACTTAAAATTTAAATATATATTAGATGAGTATATATACAATAAAATAAGTTGTCATTATTTTAAACTTAAATTTACATTGAAAAAATCTGTCATCTTAGTATGTACTTTGTATAAAAATCATGAATTTTTTTTTTCAATTTCTTTAAAATTTGTTTTTAATATTTAATATTATTGGTTGTTATATTATCTTCGATAACAATTTAATATAGCCATTATAAAATACTTTTCCAATATAACCAAGAATAACTGTCATAACATCGGTAGAGACATTATACAGAAATCATAATCGTCAATACAAATTAATACATAATATAAAAATATAGGAGTTTTACTGGGACCTTCAATCTAAGGTCACTAAAACGGTGTCATTATAAACAGTCTCTACTATATTTGCTTATAAAACCAATACCAACTTTTAATTTTTAGTTTAATCTGATTACCTACCTCAAAATATGATTCATTATAAAGAAATGATCCTTCCATGAAGCAACTCGAAGTAAGACACCAATTATTTTGACCAATAATTTTTTAGTTTCATTAATAAAAACTTTGTCGTTAATTATTTTTCTTTGGTATAAAAATAATATTGAAATGGAAGACTTGAGATCATTGATAGGTGACTGAAGATTTTTTCCTTGTAGACTTCTTACATCAGAATTGAGAAAGAGTCCCACAGGTGTATCAGCAGACAAAGTAGAAAAAGGTTGACATAATACATGCAAATAATAGTCAATCTAAAAAATAAACAATATACTTAACTCATTATAATTTTTAATTGATGAACTATAATATTTATGTACTCGGAGGCGCACCCAGGAATTTTCAACGTGTGGGATGATATTATAAGTAATAATTAGAGTTGACATTTTATAGCACTTAAGATTGCAAAAATATGGGCTATAAATATGTGATAAAATTAACAAAATATACAAAAATTAGAATTTTAAAACAAAGTTAAGCACAAGTTATGGCATTACAAAAAATAACCACAGCACATTCAACTGAAAACACAACTAGCATACTGTAAGAGTACACTAGTTAAGTAATTGACTATATTTAAATAGTATAAAGGTATCTAATGATTTCAACGCTCGTTTAATGATAATCAGTTGTACATTAAAAAAAGGGTCAATCAAAATCAGAAAATAACAAAATTTTTAATATTAAAACCAAATACATGATACAAAAAAATGGGTCAGAGCATTCGTATGGTCAGTCTATTTTCCTTAATGTATATTTACTTTTAAAATTAGACAATAATCAAAAACAGTTTTATTATAATGTTATTTCATAAAATATGAATAATGTTAATGAACAAAATGGTCAAAAATGCAAAAATATCTCAATAAGTCCAGAAAAAGCATTAAAATCTAAAAAACTTAAAAAATGCTAAATAAAATATTTAATTCCAGTTCTCTGAATTACGAAATGCTTACATTGCTATCTATAAGTATTTTATAAGAAATTAATAAATGCTATAAAATCCAATGATCAATGGGGAGGACACAAACCCTAAATTTAACCCTTGGGCACTCCACTGAGAGCACTTATAAGTTCTATAAAAAAGAGATCTAAAATCTTCAAACCTTCTCTTTGATCATTTGACAATCATATAAGGCACAATAATAGTTATGGACTAAAGTTCGTAACTGTTTCAGAGATACAACTAAATTATCTAAAGCTACTTGGTTGAATCTAGATATATCATATTTCTTAGTAGCCGATACTGGATTACCATCCTGAAATAACAATAATTAAAATTAAATACTGATCATAAAAAGAAAAATCAGAAGTATAAAATATGTTTAGATAAAATATATTTGTGTATATCAGGGATGGGCAACTCAAAGTTACTAGAGGGCCAATTTTTAGAAATTTAAAATCTAGCGGGCCAGAGCATAGAAAGCAAACAAAAAAAAAAAGGTCATTCAAAATATACATTTTAATTAACATTTATTTTGTTTATAATGAAATAGGTAATACAAAAAGCGTTATGGAAAATAATTTAATTAAATATTTAAATATAAATAGTTATTTGCAGTTTAGTGAGAGTTTTGAGGATATGTGGCTTTTAATGACAACACGGCGAAATCGACTTCTATTTCGGATGAAGAAACATGAAGTAGGTGACTTAATGTTTCATCTGTAAGTCGATTTCTATGTTTTGATTTAATATACATTTAAAGATGTTCAATACCAGATAACAATTATCATATAGATAAGATAGAGTATAGACTATTACATTATAGATTACAGAGTATAGACGATAAAGTTTAAAATACCTATACCTAATGCAATTTGAAAATGTAGCGCGGGCCAGATAAAAAAGGCTCGCGGGCCGCCAGTTGCCCACCCCTGGTGTATATGATGATAGAATATGTTAACTTATCCAAATAAAACCATTTTTTAATAATATTTACTTGGCATTCACCATACTGTGTATATGTGGCTGGTTCTAATGCCCAGATATGTTTTTCATGTGTAGCGTATGAATATTTTGATTCTTTAATTTCTTGTTTAGTGCTTTCAAGTCTAAGTCTTGCATGTAAATAATCTTGAAGTAATGTGTAAAGTGGATGTTCACAAATTTGGAAAAATTTTAATTCTGTATGATTAAATTCTTCAATACACTCTTGTAATCCAAATAATAATTTATTTTGATAATATTCTGCCAGTTGTTCATCGTTAAATGGAGTTAAAGATTCAAAAGGTGTTTCATTAATTGGTGAACTACATAATTCATTGTATATTGGAGCACAAGGAGTTGGTAATGAACCAACAGAGCAAGGAATTGAAATCGGTAGAATAGATGAAGGTGTTATATTTTTAGCTGTAGATTCTTCAATAACGTTCTCTGTATCAGATATTTTAGTAGTGTCATTATTTAAATAACTGACACTATCATTAACTTCTTTTGAAAGTTCTGTACTTAAAAAAATATCATTGAATGCTTCGTGAAGAGCATTTTCAACATCATCCACTGCAGAAGAATTGAGCACATTGTCTATAGGTTCTGGTTCTTCAACATATATCTGCAACCAAAAAAATTGTTAAAAATGACCAAATGAAATAACATTATTTACAAGTTTGATGATTTTCAAATAACTATCTTATAAATTAAGTTTGAAAAAAAAACTAAAATTATGAACATGATATATTAAGGACTTATTTAGAAATGTCTTAGGGGAGGAGGGGGAGTACGAACAAAAAATTCAAATAAAAAAATTATATTTTTATCTCAAAATAATGTAACAAAAAAGGATAAAATATGGAGAATGGGTAGAGCAAAGCCCCTCCTTGAATATGCATCTGTGCATCATATTAGTTTACTGAGCCTGGACATGTTTAGAACTATTTCAAATATCTCACTTTAACCATTATTATACTTTCTTAATGCAAAAACATGCCTATTTTTTAATAATATATTGTGCACTAAGAAATTATTGTCACAATGATAAATTGGTAATAACTAATTAATAGTTGGAATATATTTATATTTAGACGCATACGTGGACGTGCATGAAAGTTGGAATGTTTATTTTTTATGAAGGAAAAGGAACATAATAATTAATATCTAATAGCGAGTAAAGTAACCAATTTTTTTCAAGTTATCCATTATTTGGGCTGGTTAAAACTTTCGATCTCTTTTATAAAAAACTAAAATGACACCACTGAATAATATTATCATACTGTTCATAAATACCATATTCTAGATAGGTAATAAAACAGAATTAAAAGTTGTTGAATAAATGTCAACAGGAAACAAAATTTTCACGAGTGAATAATCAACAGGCGTACACATTATGAACATTGTTTCAAAGGTTTGGAAAAATCGGATTTTTTTCATTTAAAATGCCCAACTGGTAAACATAAATATAAAGTTACCTACTGTAACAAAACGAGAATGTATAATATACACACATTACATAACGAGTTCATAACAAAGGGGCAAGTCTGTATAGAATTACAACAGGATCAAACGGCCTTGATAGAAAAACCAAATGAACCGGAAAACTGTGAGCCAAGTACCACTCAGACAGAGAAAAATACGAGGACACGTTTTTTTCATCTTCACATTTTAAACTGTTGTTTGGTAGACGTAAATTGATTACCTAACTATAATATACAAATACAAAGGATGAAAGGCTTCTTAATTCTGATTTCGTTTCGGAAATAACACCGTTATGCAGATGTCGTACATACTTTGGCCGGGTGTTTGGTCTCAGACGGAGAGCGAGTTTTTGGCCTTTGTCGTTCCATACCGACGAAATCAAATCATATTTTCTCAAGCGTTAAACGTTCGACGGACAACGGCGAGCGCAGATCGTAAACAATTACGGTCACCCAACCATCGAGCACGGTGCGAGACATTCGTCGACTGTCGAGCAAACAAGCAAATTGCGACTTTTCCAATATATTTTTTTGTCTTATCCGTTTTTATCGTTGTTTTTAATCATGTTTGTTTCGTTTTATCTCTTGTTGGTGACAACAATAACAATAAAATCAGCTGCTGCTACTGAGCGAGTGATTATCACAGTATCAACATAACATCAGCTGTTGTCGTTGGAACGGCGGGGGTGCCTGTGGCTGCCCTTCAGCAGCGTCGTCGCGTTGGCAACCGTGTCCGTTATCGCGGTCACCGGTCACCCGCGAACGATACGCATTGGCGAACAGCTGGTGCTGCTGCTGCAAGTCCGTGATAATATCGGGTCGGTCGGACGTTTGGTAGGAAAAAGGTGGAAATACCACCGCGAACGGCCCGCGGAGATTCCCCGACGTACAGCACGATTGTTCCGTTATGAGTGGCGGCCACAGTCGCCGGTCGATCAGTGTCCGTGTGTGGGGCTGACCAACAAGTCGCTGCCGTTCGGTCGCCGATGTTGTTGAACACGTCCAGTACAGTGCTATGGCTTCGCGTATAACGTCCGGTGCTCGGTTGTGCGTTCGCGCCAGTATCGACAAACTCGTGTGCAATTTGTCCAGAAGTCGTCACCACAATGCGGTGGAAACGGCCGCCGTCCGTCGGGGCTCGGACAGGATGCTGCAATGTTACCAGGTCAGTACCCACTGAGCTGGGCGCTTATCGTCGGAAGGGCGGGCTCGGTCCGTGGTTTTGCAAAGTTGTAGTACAGTGTTGTTGTTATTTTTTCACTTCCTCGGGGAGACCTTCGTCCAAGGTCCTTTCAATGACTTTTTACGAGACTGGGATTTTTGGCAACGGTCCCTGCGACAAGATGTCTTACAGGAGCGTATGCCAATATATACACAAACGCCACAACTCGACAATCGTTTCTACTCTTTGTCTAGGTAGGCTTTTGAACTTACAACTAGGCATCGATCAGTAGTTCTTATACTCTTGAGTCTTAACGCATACGTACATTTTAAACCATTTTTTTTCTGGGATGTGAGATAAAAAATATTGATTTTGAAGTTCAATTTTGTTATACCCTCATATCTATTCAGCCACATAACATAATACCTACAATAACAACTCAATTTATATTTAAATGTTACGGAATATCTATACCAATGTTTAGTACCTACTTATTACTTTCATTCATTTATGATAGTTTAGACATTTTAAGACTCAATAGTTTTAATCACTTACATTCGTATCTTGTTATCTTGTATATTAATTTTATTTATATTATGAGGATACGAAGGGGTATACATTTTTAAATTTTTTGATATTTATGTTAAATTAACAAACAACATGTTTTTTTATATGGGATAATTGAGTCACTGAAGCTTTATTTGTAAAAATATTGAATATCTAACTTTGAAAATAAAATAAACTTATTGATAGTAAATTAATTTTAAAATAATTAATAAATAATCCACTGTTTATATAAATTTTAAATTGGTTTTTCAAATTTTAAAAATGTTTTTTAATTATTTTCGTAATCTTTTAATGATTAATGAGATAACCTATAGCATAATATTTAATCTGCTATAATAGCAACATAATTATTACGTACCTATTCGTAATTAATTTTTTACATCAATTTTCTTGTTATTCATTCTTAATGATTCCTTACGAACATTAAACTCAACATTGATGAACAACTGCGATGATATTTTCTAATGTTTACAACCTTTTATTATATGTAGTGTATACACTATACAGTATATATTATTATTGACTATAATTTTGATTTCAATATGATGTTTCATCTATACAGTTATTTAAAATTTTATGATTTTATATTTTATAATTTATACAACGTATTTCTTCCATAGTGAGTGAATGTATCCCAAAGAAATCCCAAAAAAACGACCTCATTTTCTTAAAAAATTTCTTTTTCTCTTTGTGTATAAATAACAAATTATCCACCATCTAGTCTAGAAAACAAATTAGGTACCTAATTTGTAAAATGTCGTAAAAAAAAATAAAGTTATGATCCATAAAAATATAGGTACCTAGATATCAAATAGATGATTTAAAGTCTTTGAAGTCATCTTATGTGGGTAGTCGTTTGTAGTTATGATTACTTGTTATCAAACCAAATAATTTAACTATTTTTTTTATTTTAACATTTGTCTATCGATCTTTGACTCGTTGTCGTAGTTACCTATGTCATTTTCAATAAAGTATACGAATTATGTGTATTGTTATTAAATGCAATTTAGGTTCCTATGCCTAAATAAACTTTTTTACTTAGAGTAAATATCTTCTAATTAAACTAAATTTGGGCTATTTGTATGTATTTAGATCGATTTAGATAATTAAAAATTGAATTTACTACACATTTTTAAATTTAGCCACCTAAATTTAATATACTACAAGTCTGCAACTGTTATTTCTATTGCGACACATTTGTTAATTATTAATAATATAATTATAGACGCCTTACAACGTATGAAAACCAAGAATTTCTTATAAGAAACTCTCAAATATAGGTACCATTTCTTATCCTTGCTTAATTTATATTGTATGTCTCATATGCGCCAAGCATATTATAATATTTTATACGTTATGTGGACATACCGTTTTATGTTTTCACACATACGCAATTTACGTTAGGTATGCTATTTCTATTCGTTTGGTTCGTCAAACGGTAATAGAGCTCGTCAATCGTACTGTTCACTAAACGCGACGCATTAACGGATTAATTTTTATCGACAATTATATATTTTCATTTGATGATTGATTGCGTAACAATTTATCGCGTATAATTATTATTCCAAATATGATTTACTGAAAATAATAACACAATTATACATATTATATCATGGTGTGTGTAAATGAAGTAAATGCGGCGCCGTGGTTCACAATAGTAATGTATAAATACCTTAAAAATTATATTGTGCCGGGGAGGGGGGGGGGAATGTTTGAACTTGTATAATGTACGCCGCCGCCGCCGAACACTGTCCGACTTGACCGATTCGGCACAATGTGGTAGCGTGTTTATGCGATTCGTCCTTGTGACGTTTTACCCGCGTTATTATCGTTGTTCAATTTTCGCGTTCGCGCATGTGTATAATTGGTGACAGTATGTATAGGTGAATCGCCATAATAACGAACCAGTTGTGCGCAACACGTTACTGGCCTACTAAGAAAATAAAGAAAAAAATCGATAATAAATAGAGAAGAAAAAGAAAAAATAACGTATACCTATATAGCTGCCGCCGAGACCGTTAATCAAGTTCGACAACCTGGTATAGCCCGCGTTCGGTCTCTCACACTCTCTCTCTTTCTCTAGCATGTTGCCGCCACCTCGTCGAATTGCCAGACCATGTCCGAATAAGACCTGTGAATTCTAACACTTCGAACTACCCACCCACCATTCACCCTTAAAAAGCACGATTTTTAAATCTGATATAGGTAACTACAATATCTGTGTATAAAGTTTAATTTGTATAGTGTAATTTCATCGAAATTCTGATAAGCTCAAAACTAAAAATGATGTACAATTAAATACACAATAAAATATGATTTTTTAAAATTAAGACATCGGTGTCTCCCAGAAAATACCGGTAAATCGACGAGATATTTTTGTTACGTTGCAATTATTGCTTTCAGCCTGTTAAAAGAAGTGACGTAATAAAAAACCTATCATCTATAAAATAATATTATGATTCAAATGGAAATCTAAAGATGTTATAAAATGATTCATATATTAATAATACATATTAATCAATAATCGTTATGGGCTTGAAACTTTCTATACCTACTAATTGTTAAGCTTTATCACATAATAGTTTAAAATCTATACCTACATACATTTTAAGACGTATTTTATTTGACGACCCAAATATTTTTTTTTTTTAGAATATTTAACAATTATTATTTGAATTATTTAAAAATTATATACTCATTAATAAAATGTAAAATTACGATTTAAAAATTAAATTTTACTTAAATAAACAAAATAAATAAATAAATAACTTACTATCACAAATCATAAAGAATTCCAATGATTACAGATTAATTTCTATAATTCACCAATAGCATTTGCAACGTTAAGTTTATTACACACACCTGGTCGTTTGATTTTGATATATTAAACAAAAGTAACTACTCAATAAACTTGTTAATGCAAACACGTGCACAATGTGTATTGATAATTTTTAACTGTAAATTCACCAATATAATGATACATAATATGGACTACGAATATTTATTTAAGTTATAAATAAAATTTGAGTTAAGTTGTACACAAATTTCACAAGTTACAAAGTAAATAAGACATAAGCACTTAATATGTATTATTGTTAATTTAATAATACGATAAAAGCTTTAAGTTTTTTTTAAATTAACAAAATATTTAACGTATTGTACGTCGATTATTTTATATATTAACAGTATAACAAATTCATCTAAAAATATTTATACCCTGATGATTGCCTGTATATATTTATTCACTTTTGTTTATAATAAGTTGTTAATATTTATTCCAACATTTTTCATTATAACTATATTTTTGACAAGTTATTTAATTTCTACTAAGCTTATTTATTAGGTACGTTAAAAATAGTATTGATTGAATTCTGGATAAAGGGAAATTCTTATCATTAACATCAATTTAAGATTTATCTTTTATAATAGGTAATTTTTTTGTAGTTTCGAGAAGTCATAAGATAGGTCATCATAAAAATCTTATTACCTACGTCAACTATATTTTTAAATATTAAATCTCTTTAGAAAGTAATAGGTACCTAAATTAATTTGATCATATAGGTAATTATATATTTTTTAACCATAAAATAATCAATTTCGAATTTTGGTATGCCTTCGAGGTAATCATATTAAGTAATCCCTTTCACAGTAATTAACGGTAATTAAACAATCAAAAGTTAAGTTTATGTTCAATGTAAAACTATGTAGATTTAAATTCATTATTATGATATTTATTACTTATACCATAATATTCAAAAGAATGAAGTAGTAAACAATTATTTTTTGAAATATTCTCTGTGTCTTTAAGCTCTGGAACCTCAGTACTTTTTTCCAAGTGATAAGGTGACTCCTTGGATGTTAAGCGTGTTGACCTTGTGACTTTACCTATGGAATAATAGGTGTTTCCTTTTGGCCTCGTGGTTTGAGTGAAAGTGCAAGTGAAACACGTGCAAACCAGTCCAGGATGTCTGCTGCCGTGGTATTTAGCACGTAGACTGCTCGACTATATCCTGTGTTCACAATCCTCAGATTTTTTATTCTTGTTAAAGTTTAGGGCCAATTTTACCAATAGGTATCTAATTCGGCACCATAATATATTCGGGATATTTTCCCTGATTTTATTTGTTCCTTAGAAAATGGCTAGGCAATTAAAATTTAAAAACAACAATTGTTTTCATAAAGAGATATTTATCTAGGAATGTAAGCTAAAGTGCTCAGATAGATTAATTTTCCAAACCAAGTAATCGCCTAATTGTTCTAATATATGTATAGTGAAAGTCGTGGTTCTCTTACTCATATATTATTTTCATGGGTAGTTTGCTTTTCAAATTTACTCCATCCGTTCTAAATAACACTCGTCTTAAATAATTAAATGTATTTAAAATTAGTATTGCTTGCTCTTAACATACTTTTGTACATTGTACCTATCATATTAT